TCAGTGATGTTGGGGTGACAAAAGCTGAATTGAGTTAAATAAAGTCTGGGAGGTGAGGAAATGGAGACTGAGGGTGTGAACATCCCTTTCCAGAGACTGGCTTTACTGAGGAGCACAGCAATGGAATTATGCCTAGAGGGGTATGTTGTGTGCTATCGAATTGTTTCCAACTCATAGCCACCCCATGTAACAGAGTAGAAACCACCACATAGGGTTTTCTTGGATGCAGTCTTTACTGAAGCAGACCGCCAGGTCATTCTCCCTTGGAGCCGCTGGGTGAGTTCAAACCTCCAACCTTTTAGTTAGCAGCTGAGAGCTTAACCATTGTACCACCAGGGGTATTAGAGACCCAAGACTCACAAGTAAATATATCCATTGGCATTGAGGACACAGTACGTGAAACAATCTAGATGCCCATTAGTAGGGGTATGGCTGAACAATGCTACATTTATACCATGGAACACCATGAATCAGTTAAGAAGGATAAGATACACAGATGCCCATTATATATTAATAAATAAAAATAAATAAAAGCATCAAAACAATAATTAAAAAAAAAGTATGCTGGGATAACTGGATCTCCACACACAGAAGAATGAAGTTGAGTCTATACTTCACACCACATACACAAATTAACTCAAAATGGATCAACGACTTAAATATAAGAGTTAAAACCATAAAACTCTTAGAAGAAAACATAAAGATATTTAGGACCTTGTATTTTGTAACGGATTCTTACATAAGACACTAAACAGCACAAACAACAAACTAAATAATAGATAAATTGGATTTCATCAAAATCAAAAACTTTTGTGCATCAAAGGACATATCAAGAAAGTGAAAAGACAACCTTCAGAATGGGAGAAAATATTTGGAAATCATATACCTGATAAAGGTTTAACATCCAGAAGATATAAAGGACTACAACTCAACAATACATTTCTCCAAAGATACACAAATGACCAACAAACACATGAAAAGATGCTCAACATCATTAGTCATTAAGGAAATGCAAATCAAAACAACAACATTTCACACTCACAAGGTTGGCTTTGAGTCGGAATCCACTTGAAAGTACACAACAACAGGATGGCTATTGTCCCTGGGTGAAACAAACTTTTTGTTTTTTTTATTTTGTTAATGTTGTTGAGAATATACACAGCAAAACATACACCAATTCAACCATTTCTACATGTAAAATTCTATGACATTGATTACATTCTTCGAGTTGTGCCATCATTCTCACCCTCTTCTTCTGAGTTGTTCCTCTCCCAATAACACAAACCCACTGCCCCCTAAGGTTCCTATCTAACCTTTCCAGTTTCTGTTGTCACTTTGATCACATATAGATAGTTCTTAAAAGAACATAACGCTCAAGGCAGACCTTTTTTACTAGTTAAGGTAAACTATAATTTGGTTTTAAGAAGACTTTAGGGGATATTTTTGGTTTAAGTTTTAAAGATTCTCTCAGGGCAATAGTTTCACGGGTTCCTCCAGCCCCATGGCTCCAGGAAGTCTGGTGTCCATGAGAATTTGAAATTCTGTTCTGCATTTTCCCCCTTTTGATCAGGATTCTTCTATAGAATCTTTGATCCAAATGTTCAGTGATCTCAGCCAGGCACCATCCAGTTCTTCTGGTCTCATGGCAAAGGAGGCAGTTATTCATGGAGGCTATCAGCCACGCATTCCATATCCTCCTTCTATTCCTGACTCTCTGTCTTCCTCTGTTGCTCCAGGCAAATAGACACCAATTGTTGTGCCTTGGATGGCCACTTGCAAGCTTTTAAGACCCTAGGCACTATGAAACAAACTAGTAGGTAGAACAGAAGCACTAAAAAACATTATTAGGCCAATTAACTGGGATGTTCCACAAAACCAGGACCCTAAACCTCCAAACCAAGGAATCAAAACCCATGAGGTTTTTGGTTGTACATAAGTAGCCTCAGCAGCTACCATCTTTTTTTTTTGTCATTGCTATATCTATCACACAACTTTTGCCAATTCAACTTTTTACAGGTGTACAACTTACTGACAGCAATTACAATAATCAGCTGTGCAACCCTACCCTTAATCAATGTGATTTTTTCCATTACTGTTAAGTCTCCCTTTCCCCCTCTCTCCTGCCCCTGGTGGCCACTAATAAACTTTGGTCTCTATACATTTGCTCTTTCGCTGTGAGTTGCAATAGACACGATGGCAACAGGTTTGGTTTTGGTGGTGCAGTGGTTAAGAGCTATGGCTGCTAACCAAACGGTTGGCAGTTCGAATCTACCAGCTGCTCCTTGGAAACCCTATGGGGCAGTTCTACTTTGTCCTATAGGGTAGCTATGAGTCAGAATCAACTTGACGGCAACAGGTTTGGTTTTTTGTTTTTGCCTTTTTATATAAGTGAAGTCATACAATATTTGTCCTTTTGTGATTGAATTATTTCTCTCAGCATAATGTCTTCAAGCTCCATCCATACTGTAGCATGTATCAAGACTTCATTTACTGGCTGAGCAGTATTCCATTGTATGTACGTACCACATTTTATCCATTTATCTGTTGATGAGCATTTAGGTTGTTTCTACCTTTTGGCTATTGTGAATAGGGCTGCAATGAACACTGGCGTACAAGTCTCTGTTTGAGGCTCTGCTTTCGAATCTTTGGGTATATACCTAGGAGTGGCATTGCTGGGTCATATGTTAGTTCTACTTTTAGTTTTTTGAGGACCTGCCACAGTTTTCCACAACGGCGGTACCATTTTGCATTCCCACCAGCAATGGGTAAGAGTTTCAATTTCCCCACACCCTCCCCAACTTTTTTTTTTTTATCTTAGCCATCCTAGTGGGAGTGAAATGGTATCTCATTGTGGTTTTGGTTTACATCTTTTTGATGACGGCTAATGGTGTTGAGCATCTTTTCATGTGTTTGGTGGCCACTTGAATGCCCTCTTTGGTGAAATGTCTATTCAAGTCCTTTGCCCATTTTATGACTGGATTATTTGTCTTTTTTTGTTGTCAAAGTTTTAGATATATTATGGTTATTAGATTCTTATTTGTTGATAAGGTTTCTGAAGATATTCTCCCAGTAAGAACCTTGTCTTTTCACCTTTTTGGAAAAGCTCTTTTGATGAACAAAAGTTTTTAATTTTTATGAGGTCCCATTTATTTGTTTTGTCTTTTGCTGTTTGTGATTTTGTTATTATATTAGATAATCCATTGTTAAAGCTAGGACCAACAACATTGCCCCTGCATTTTCTTGTAAGAATTTTACGGTTTTAGTTTGCACATTTAGGTCCTTAATCCATTTTGAATTTGTTTTTGTGTGTGGTGTGAGGCATGGATCCTGTTTCATTTTTCTGCATGTGGAAATCCAGTTTTCCCAACACCATTTATTGAAGACTCTTCTTTGTCCATCAGGTGGACTTAGCACACTTGTCAAAAATCAGATGACCATAGATGTATGGGTTTATTTCTGGACTCTCAATTCTGTTTCATTGATCTATGTGTCTATTGTTATACCAGTACCAGGCTGTTTTGATTACTGTAGCTGTATAATATGTGTGGCACAAACATTTAATCCCAAACAGTTAAGCACTCAACTACTAACCAAAAGGTTGGCAGTCCAAGTCCACACAAAGGCATCTCAGAAGAAAAGCCCTGTGATCTGCTTCAGAAAGGCCATAGCCTTGAAAACCCTGTGGAGCACAGTTCTACTCTGCAACACACAAGGTCACCATGAGTCGGAATCGAGTCTATGGCAACTGGTTTTGTTTTCTGGTTTAGGATGGCCAATATTAAAAAAAAATCTGAAAATAACAAGTGTTGTCAAAGATGTGCTACTGGGAATGTAAAATGATGCAGCCCCTAGGGAAAATGGTTTGGTAGTTTTTCATAAAGTTAAACATAGACTATGACCCAGCAGTTTCACTCTTAGAAATCCCAAAAGATCTTTTTTAATATAATTTTAATTATTTTGTTGTTGTTATTGAGAATATACACAGCAAAACATACACGAATTCACCAGTTTCTACATGTACCATTTAGTGACACTATTACATTCTTTAGTTGTATAACCGTTCTCACCCTCCTTTTCTGAGTTGTTCCTCCCCCATTAACATAAATTCACTGCCCCCTAAGTTTTCTATCTAATCTTTCGAGTTGCTGTTGTAGGAATTTCAAAAGATTTGAAAGCAGGACTCAGATACTTGTACAGCAATGTTCATTGAAGCATTTATTCACAATGGTCAAAAGGTGAAAACAACCCAAGTGCTCATCAACAGATGAATAAAATATGGTGTGTATACACACAGTAAAATATTATTCAGCCATAAAGAGAAATGAAGTTCTGATACATGCTACCACATGGACCAACCTTGAAAACATGCTAAGTGAAGTAAGCCAGTCACAAAAGGACAAATATTTTGTGATTCCACTTATATGAAATAGAGCCCTGGTGGCGCAATGGTTAAGAGCTCAACTGCTAACCAAAAGGTCGGCATATTTGAATCCCTGGAAACCCTATGGGGCAGTTCTACTCTGTCCTATAGGGTTCCTATGAGACAGAATCGACTCGACAGCAATAGGTTTTTGGTTTATATGAAATATCTAGAAATACGCAAATGCAGACAGACAGAAGACAGATTACTGGTTACCAGGAGCTGGGGAGTAGGGCCGAGTGGGGAATTATTGCTTAATGAGTACAGAGTTTCTGTTTGAGATGATTAAAACATTTTGGAAATAAGTAGTGGAGATAGTTGCACAATATTGTGACTATAATTAATGCCAGAGTTGTACACTTAAAAATGGTTAAAATGGCAAGTTTTATGTTAGTATATTTTGCCACAATAAACAAAAAAGTTAAGGATGAACGTATTGTATGAATGTGAATATACTGATAGTAATACTGTAATATAGTTTTGCAAAATGTTACCATTGGGGTAAACTCTGTAAAAACTACATGAGATTTCTTTGCATTGTTTCTTACGGACTGCATGTGACTCTACTATTATCTCAAAATAAAAAGTTTAATTTAAAAAATACTTCCAGTATGTACATAATTTAGGGCTTTTTCTTTTTTTTCCCAAACTAAGCATTCATACCTCTTAACATCAAAAAACTATTTCTCGTTTTGTAAATAAAACAGAGTAGGGAGGAAAAAACAAAGAAAGCAAAACCCCAACCCTGGCTTCCCCTGGCTTAGGGGATAATGTTTCAGCTTTCAAGGTCTCCAGGTCCGTCCCCGTCTCGTGCCTTCATAACCGCATCTTTAGAAGTACAGCAGGACTACGTACTGCGGACAGGCGTCTGCTAGTCTAGCTTGCTTCAGAACTGAACGCTCGGCCCTTTTCAGCTGAACCAGCGGATGATTTTCTCTCTCTCTCACTCCCCTGCCAGTTCTCTCAATCATCCTCTGCGGAGCCTCTTCCGCCACCGATTCCCCAGTAGACCTTCCTCGGGCGACCACGCTATTGCTCACGTTGCTGCAAAAACAAGAGACCTGGGCTACCAGGATTAATGTGGAGTCTTCCGGCCAAGATGACTCATTTCCGGTCACCGACTCCTTCCCCCGGAAATGGGACCTGATGTAAACACCAGAGCCGGGCGCCAGGGCCCGGGAGGTCAGTAAGCCGGGCCGCGGGCGGCACCGAGAACTAGGATCGGGGTCAGAGGCGCACGGAGGCCAGGTTAGTGCAGGCGGCAAGGAGCTGGAACACGTTCCCAGAACTGGTTGGAGTCTGGGGGAGGATGGGGGTCTTTGAGGAGGGGTCTTGGTGGATGGGGGCAGTCTAGGACAGGGATCTTGCATGGGTGCTGGCGTTGGAAGGAGTATGAGGGTGCATTTGGGCAAGGGTCTTGCGGGGAGGGAAGAGGCATTCTGAGTAAGGTTCTTGGGTGGCGAGGGTCTGTAAAATGGGTTTTATTGTGGGGTAGAGGGGGGGTCCGAGAAAGGGGTCTTGGAAGGTGGGGCTATCCAAAGAATAGGTTTGGGGGAGTGAGGCGGTCTAGAGGAGGGTGGGGGAATGGTAGGGAGGAGGTTAGGGGTTTGGGGCTCATGGAGGATGAGGGGCGGGTGCGCCTGTACAGAGGTTTTGGGGAGATGGGAGTTTCAAGGGAGGATAGGGACTCTTAGAGAGAAATCTTAGGGAGTAGGGAGGTCCCAGGTAGGCGTGTTGGAGGGTGGAGGTGTCCCAGGCATGGGTTTTCTGGGGGGTGGGGATCCTGGCAAGGGTCTTGAGGGGATAGGGGTGCCCTGGGGAGGGTCTTGGGGAGAGTGTAGGGGGTCCGGAGGAGGAATCTTAGGGAGATTGAGTTCCTGAGGTTGAGTCCAGGCCTTCCCATGTTGGAATCAGGAACAGCAGAGAAAAAGGAAGGGCATGTCCCAGAGGTGGGGAATTTGGCATGATAAGGGAATCCTGAGGTATGATCTTCAGGACATAAGAAGATCTGAGGGAATGTCTGGATTAGCCCTGGTTGAACAGAGGTTAGCATGACATGAGAAGCAGTCATCCAGAGGTAGACATGGTACCCTGAAGGGGTTTTGGGTAGTCTGTGGTGGGTGGTGTGGTAGGGTTCTGGGGTAGTGAAATAGGTTTGGAGCAGAGTCAAAAGGACATGGGGGAGGGGTTCTTGTGAGTAGTGGACCAACCATAGTAGATCTTAGGGGCAGGTCAAGGAGGTACAGGAAGATGTGAATTTCTAGCCCCCATTCCCCTATTTATTGACAGGTGAAGTTGGGTGCTGGATCTAGGTGTTAGGATGAGAAGCAGGGGTTGGGGGTGGTTCCATGCAATGTTGGGCATTGATGCCAGGATGGGGTGGGGAGGAGATATTACTGGGGCACCCCCCTATCTCATTACTTCCTGACAAGGAGCCAGTGGGGGAGGGTCAGAGTGTAAGGAGGAGGCAGGGGTCCAGGTCAGGGTAGATGTGAGAAGGTGAGGTGTGGGGGGGTCCTGGTCATGCTGTTAGGGGTCTTGGGAGTTTAGAGCAGAGACCTCAGTACTCCTACCCTGTTTTTCTCCTCTTTGCAGTCCTCCCAGGGTCAGTAGATAGCAGAGTGGGAGGAAGAAAAGGAAATCAGTTGGCAGCAGAAGTCCTGGGACTTGAAAGGGAGACCCCAGGACTCTTCCCACCCCCGCACCACCCCATTTGTGTCCAGGGGAACAATCCTGGACCATGACTCAGCAGCCACTGCGAGGAGTGACCAGCCTTCATTTCAACCAAGACCAGAGTGAGAGAGGCTTGTGCCTGTACCCTTGTGGGAAGGAGTGGGGGAAGGGTCACCAGCTTCCCCCACCCCATCCTCTGAGACAGTCCGGACTCCTCCCATCCCCCAGGCTGTTTTTGCTGTGCCATGGAGACAGGTGTGCGCATCTACAACGTGGAGCCATTGATGGAGAAGGGGCATCTGGGTGAGCCATTGGAGGGAAGGGATGATGGGCAGAAGGGCTGGGCTGGGCATTGGCTCCCACCCCTACTGACACCCTGGTCCCTGTCCAGACCATGAGCAGGTGGGCAGCATGGGCCTGGTGGAGATGCTGCACCGCTCCAACCTGCTGGCCCTGGTGGGCGGTGGTAGCAGTCCCAAGTTCTCAGAAATCTCAGGTAAGTCTTCATTCTGCCCTTGGCCCAGATTCTCCAGATTCCTGGCCTCCCACAGGCACCCTGAGGCACTGGTAGATGACAGTGTCAGAGCACCTCAGAGTCACACAGGGAGGTCTGCAGCTCAAGAAGCTTGGTGATTTTTTATTTATCAAACACTTACTGAGTGCCTACTGTATGCCATATCCTTACTTACTGTGAGCCTAATACTGCTCTAAGCACTTTACATGTATTAACTCATTTACTCTCAGTAATCCTATATGGTGGAAAGTATCATTATCCTCATTTTTACAGATGAGGAAACTGAGGCCCAGGGAGGTTAAGTGACTTGTCCAAGGTCACACAAGTAATAGGTTTTGAAATCTTGGCGCCATCTCCCCAACACTCCCTTGCCTTGAGCCTCAAGCACCATCTTGTGTTAAGGGTTTATGTTGTTGATCCTACTGGGACATGGCAAGAGTCGCCCTAGGTGAGTCACAGAGCCCTAGGATTCCCCACAGAAGTCTCCTGGGGGTATGGACTGGGACCCTGTAGACAGAAATAGTTACTGAAGGGAAGTTACAGGCCTGGGTGTGAGTCCCTGCTTGGTTGCTGATGGGCTGTAAGATCCTTGGCCAGACACTCAACACTTTCAAGCCTCAGTTTCCTCATCTGTAAATGGGTATAACAGTTCTAGAACTGGTTCTCTCAGGGATCATGTCTACAAGTGCTCATCTGTGTGAGGCTCACATTGGGTGTTGAGTGAAAGGTTAAGCAAGTGAGTTGAGGTCCCATGGGGAGTAGGGGTGGTTCCTGTGTCACCAGGGCTGCCCCTCACCCTAAACCTTGGCCCCCGACAACCCACCCACCTGCCTAGCAGTGCTGATCTGGGACGATGCCCGGGAGGGCAAGGACTCCAAGGACAAGCTGGTGCTGGAGTTCACCTTCACCAAGCCAGTGCTGGCTGTGCGTATGCGCCATGACAAGTGAGCTTGGGAAGGACTGGGCGGGTGGGGGGGTGGTTAGGAGGTCCCCACAGCAGGCGAAGGGTTAGTCCATCCTGGACAACCTGCCTTCCCCTCATGGCCATTTTGTGTTGTATGATGCCCACAGGATTGTGATCGTGCTGAGGAACCGCATCTACGTGTACTCCTTCCCCAACAATCCCCGAAAGCTGTTTGAATTTGACACCCGGGACAACCCTAAGGGTGAGAAACTAAAACAAAACAAAACCCGTTGTTATCGAGTCAATTCCAACTCATAGCGACCCTATAGGACAGAGTAGAACTGCCCCAAAGGGTTTCCAAGGAGCGGCTGGTGGATTTGAACTGCCAACCTTTTAGTTAGCAGCTAAGCTCTTAACTACTGCGCCGCCAGGGCTCCAAGGGTGAGAGGACCTAGATATTCAGGTGTAAGGGTGGGACGTAGTGGGTAGGCAGAAGGCCAGAGATGAAGAGAGACAGGAGGGAACGCAGAGAAACTGGGAAGGAGAGGCAGGGAGAGAGTCTTTGGGCAGAGAGATGAGAGCTGCTCATACCCCTATCCATCTTTCCATCCCTCAGCCAGAGTTCTCTCTTCCTACCCTTGCCCCTGCCTCCTCCCCTGTGTGCCCCAGGTGACACAGCAAACATACCTAATAAGGATATGGATGGAGGTATCAGATCCCTGGGCCTTAGTGGCTTACTAGGAAGAGGATCTGCCTAGCTGATAGGAGCATAGCTGAAGCAAAGCCCCTGAGGGCTCCATATGTAACATGTATCATGGAAGGTCAAAGTCTGGCCCTTACCTAGCTCTGTCCATTCTGGGACCCTATCTGTCCCACTGCCTGGATCCCTGCCTCCCCTTTACCAGCCCACCTGCTATCTCTTCATCTTCATACCCTAGGGCTCTGTGACCTCTGCCCCAGCCTGGAGAAGCAACTGCTGGTTTTCCCTGGACACAAGTGTGGGAGTCTGCAGCTTGTGGTGAGCCATCTAGCGGGCAAGGGTGGGTAGGTGGGTGGGCTGGCTTTCCTTGTGGACTCTTGTCCCTCACCTCCCCACCACCCTAGTGCCCACTCCCTCCTACCCCAGGACCTGGCAAGCACAAAGCCTGGCACTTCATCTGCTCCGTTTACCATCAATGCACATCAGAGTGATGTGGCCTGCGTGTCCCTGAACCAGCCAGGCACTGTAGTGGCCTCAGCCTCCCAGAAGGGCACCCTTATTCGCCTTTTTGACACACAGTCCAAGGAGAAACTGGTGGAACTGCGCCGAGGCACTGACCCTGCTACCCTTTACTGGTGAGCACAGGGTATATGTGGTGGGCTGGTGACCCCACACCGCATGCCATGTGAGCATCACTCTGCTGGTCCCTCTTCCAGCATCAACTTCAGCCATGACTCCTCCTTCCTCTGCGCCTCCAGTGATAAGGGCACTGTCCATATCTTTGCTCTCAAGGACACCCGCCTCAACCGCCGCTCAGCGTGAGTACACCCTGCCTTGTCCCCCCTCCTCCTCCCCACCCATATACCACACGTGGGCTTAGCCAGTGCTGCTTGCAGGCTGGCTCGTGTGGGCAAGGTGGGGCCTATGATCGGGCAGTACGTGGACTCTCAGTGGAGCCTGGCAAGCTTCACCGTGCCTGCTGAGTCTGCCTGCATCTGCGCCTTCGGTCGCAATACTTCCAAGAATGTCAACTCTGTCATTGGTAAGTGGAATTAGCACCTTGGTGGGGTACTGCAAGGGCAAAGGCCTGAGTTGGACCTGAAATAATTCAAGGGCCATGAGAAGCCTGAAGGAACTGGAATGTATGTCTCAACTCCGTCATCAGTAAGGGGTATGGCACATGGGCAAAGGGCTAGAGGTAGACCCTAGGCCACAGGACCCCTGAGAGGACTGGTGTGTGTGACTGTGGCAGCCTAATGTTTTACTGCTCCTCTTCCCCTCCTCCAGCTATCTGCGTAGATGGGACCTTCCACAAATATGTCTTCACTCCTGATGGAAACTGCAACAGGGAGGCTTTCGATGTGTACCTTGACATCTGTGATGATGATGACTTTTGAGGACCCTGGGGGCTGTGTTAGGGATCTGCAGTGGCAGGTTGCAGAGCTGAGCCTTTGGGGAGGAGGTGCTGTGGAAGCCACAGATGGCAAACATTAATGGGGGTGCTCACTTTCCACTCAGTAGAGCTTTGTCTAAATAAACAGCTCACTCACTTCCCCAAGCAATTCTTCCTGATTGTGTGCCTGCAGGGTCAGGCCAGGGACCCATGGAGGCAGCCCACTCCCCAGGCTCTTAGCCTGGAGGAGCAGACCTCCAGGGACTCAGAGGGAGTGTCCTAACCCAGTCTGAGGGGATTAAAGAAGACCTCCCAGAAGGAGACAATCTCTGATGTGACGAATATAAATAAAAGGCCCTTAATGGCATTTATGACGACCTCAGGGGTGGGACAGGCAGGAGAGGTGGCTGAAAAGCGCCTTGAGGGGGTTTCCAGGGGTGTGATCCTCTAGGATTCTGACGGGAAGTGGGATCAAACTCGGTTCCTTCTGGCAGTGCCCGCAGTCTTCTCTCTCTGCATGTTCTTGCACTTCTGCTTACCATGTGGTTGAGCTGGCACCGCCTGGAGCAGTTCCCCGTGGGGCCCCGCCGAGGGGTGGGTGGAGACTTGAAGGAGTGGGAGTTTCTCGCCTTTTGCTGGAGGCTCGATTTCCCGGAAGCCTCTGCGCGTTACTTGCGTTTCCGGTCACGTGCGTTGTTATTCCTGCGCAGCCGCCAGGCCTCCCAGTGTCCCTCACGGTGCCGCGGGGTCTACTGGGTATTGTAGTTGGACCGCCCGTGTGGCTGGTCCAGCAATATCCAGCTGCAGGATGTCGGAGGTGCGGCTGCCGCCACTACGCGCCCTAGACGACTTCGTTTTGGGCTCCGCGCGTCTAGCGGCCCCTGATCCAGGCGACCCACAGCGATGGTGCCACCGTGTCATCAACAACCTTCTCTATTACCAAACCAACTACTTAATCTGCTTGGGTTTCGGTCTTGCTATGGCTGGGTGAGTTAGGGAAGGAGGGGAAGTGCGGGTAGCTGCCGGTTGGCCAGGGACGCCTGCGGGGCATGAGGGCGTAACAGGGAAGGTCATTGAGGACCAGGAGGGGGGCCCTGAGAGGGATGCAAGGCCTGGGAGGGCGAATCCAGTGGAGATGGAAGGCCTGAAGAGGAGACCCGAGGGCAGTGGAAACGGAGATTTGAGGAGGTGGAACCCGGTTAAGGAGGTCCTGAGGGGAGTGGAGGCTGGTTAAGGGGTACCCGAGGGGGATGGGGAATCCCTGGGAGGTGCAAGATTAACCAGCTTGGCTGCTAAATGAAAGGTTGGAAGTTTGACTTCACCCAGAGGCGTCTGGAAGAAAGGCCTGGCGATCTATCTCCGGAAAAATCAAGCCATTGAAAACCCTGTGGAGCACAGTTCTCTGACACACACACATGGGGTTTTAGTTTGGAGGAGGATGGAGCCTGGTTATGGAGGGCTTGAGGGGGATGGAGGGTCTGAAGGGGCAACTTGGGGAGGAAGGAAAAAGTGGAACTGAAGGGGATAGAGGGCTAGGACGGGGACCTGAGGACAAGGAGGGCCTGAAAGGGGGACATGAGAGTGCCTGCGGGGGGGGGGGGGCTTGGTGGTTTTGAGTAACAGTGCTTGATAAAGGCAGCCCAGGAGGACTTAGGTAGGCGCTCTGGTGGCGCATTGGTTAAGTGCTTGGCTGCTAACCAAAAGGTCAGTGGTTTGAACCTACCAGTCGCTCTGCGGGAGAAAAATGTAGCAGTTTGCTAACTCGATGGCAACGGGTTTGGGTTTTTGGTTTGGAGTACTTAGGGCAGAGATAGGGTTATGGTAAAGTTGAAGGGTTTGGAGGGTGGACTTATGGAGAATCTGGGCTTGGAGGGGAACCTGCTGTGATGGGAATGTACAGGAAGGGGATACCTGTTGGGTAACTTGGGTCCAAAGGGAGGACCCACGGTTGGAAAGCCCGAGAGGGATGGAGAACCTGGAGGAGGGGCTTCGGCAGGGTTAGAAGTCCCAAGTAGGGTGAAGTCGTGGAAGGGGTTCTAGCGATGACGGAGGAAAAAATCAATCTATAGAGAAGTGGGAGCCTGGTGGGGGGGAGGGGTTGAAGGGGTGGAAGGCCTGGAAGGGGTCCCATAAGGACCGTGGGCCTGGGCCTGGGCCTGGGCCTGGACAGAGAGGACACAAGGCTTGGAAGAGGGATTTTCAGGGGCTGGGCCCAAAGGGGGAATTTGGGGGCAGGTTGGAGGGGGCCTAGAGGGGGGCCCTGTGGCAGTAGGGTCCGAAGGAAAGACCAGGGAAGGGTTGGGAGCCCAGGGGTTTAGCGGGATGGGAGGGCCTGAAGCGGGGAAACCTCAGGAAAAATGGGACTGTAGGATTGATACGGAGGAAATGGGGGAACCCAGGAGTCCTGGGAATTGGAAGTCCTGGAGGGTCAACCTGTTGGAGTCGGAGCTGGCGGGAGTATTTGCGGACTGAAGGGTCCAGAGAGGGGGACTAAAGCTCTCAGGACCCGGGGTTGGGTGGATGGTGGACCGGGAGGTCCTCTCCGCCTGCCCGGCTAGCTCCGTTCCTTTGTCCCCGCAGGTACGTGCGCCCACTGCACACGCTCCTAAGCGCACTGGTAGTAGCAGTGGCGCTGGGCGTGCTCGTGTGGGCGGCCGAAACCCGCGCGGCCGTGCGCCGCTGCCGCCGCAGCCATCCCGCTGCCTGCCTGGTCGCAGTGCTTGCCGTCGGGCTTCTTGTTCTTTGGGCCGTGGGAGGCGCTTGCACCTTCCTGCTCAGCATCGCTGGGCCAGTGTTTCGTGAGTCTCCACTACCCTGGGATGTACCGGGAACGGCCAGCGCATGCGCACGGCACCAGGCCCGCCTTGCCCTGGGCATGGCCACGCCCCCGTTACAAAGCGCCTTCCCTGGCATTGCTCCCTCTTTTCTGGGAACGCGCCCTTCTCGCTACCGCCTTTCTGAGCCTCACTCCTGTTTCTAAGTGTCTTCCACTGGCCAAGTCCTTGTTACCGCGCGCGTTCTCCCCCGTTACTCAGCCACGCTTTCAGGGTCAGGCGTACTGGCCACTCGCCATTCCATTGGCCAGCCTGCGTCCCAGTTACCCTCTGTGGGCCCCGATTGGCTACAAGCTGATTCCTCCATTCTTCTCCACCCGTCCCGCTATTACTGACCCCACTCCTCTCGGTACTGCCCACAGTGATCCTGGTGCACGCTTCGCTGCGCCTGCGCAACCTCAAGAACAAGCTTGAGAACAACATGGAGAGCATTGGTCTCAAGCGGACACCAATGGGGCTGCTACTAGAGGCGCTCGGACAAGAGCAGGAGGCTGGATCCTAGGGGCCTGGGATCTGTACCCCAGACCTGGAGGATACCACACATGCCCTGGCCAGAACCAGAGACCCAGAGCCCTTTTCCAGCCCTTGCCTAGTCCAGAAAGCAGGACATCAGCATCCCCACACCCCCGGGTCCAAAACTGGGATATCCCCCACACCCAGCCACTAGGGACCGGAATCTTCCCCTGCCCTGAACCTGGGACCGGGCCAGAGCCACCAAAACTGGGGCCTGGAAACCGGAGTATCCACAGCCAACCTCAAACTCAGGACCCAGGGGCACTCCCCTAATCCAAATCTGCAACCCACCCTCCTCCCATTCTCAGCCCCACAGCTAGCATCTGGGTCTAAGGAATTCGCAAATCTTAAACCCAGGACCAAGGCTTTTCCAGACCCCCACCTCAGCTCTGGACACAGGTCAAGTCATTTCCAAATCTTGAGCCCAAGACCCAGGTGTTCTCAGCCCCCATCTGGGTACAGGGCTCAGGCATCCTAACCCTGTTGAACCCTTGGTCCCAGGTGACCCCCAGCCCTCACCACTCACCTCCCTCCACCTCTGCTTAGGGATCCTACCCTTCTCCCCTAAGTTCCACAGTGATGAGGACCAAGGGGTGGCATTGGGGGTAGGCATATTTATCAGTGTTGCTGCAATAAAATAAAAAAAAATAAAATAAATAAAAATAAAAGCTGTTTTATCTCTCAAGCCAACTTCAGCCTCCTGAGTAGAGTCCTTGGGTGTTTCAATGGACAGAAGTGGCCTTCTGCTTTTTAATTCTACTAAAAACTCTTCCTGACAGGGTCTCAGTTTCTCTATGTGGATTTAAGGGATGATCTCTGAGGCCCTTCCTCAAACCTGTTAGCTGTGGAGAAGCATTAAAGCATGAGGCATTAAAAAGCACGAAGTAGTTAAGGCATGAAATGTTTACTATCATTTGTATTACTAACGGTTCTTCTTTGGGGTTGGCTAGGAATCTGAGAGCAGAAAGGCAAAGAAGCTCCACATCACAAAGTAAAGCCAAAACAGATGACATTATTAAGGCTGTTTCCACAGTGTTATATATATTTTTCCTGTAAAAATATTTTAAAATAATACATTATTGGTCTTAACTAAAGATGTGGGTCCCCAAGGCAGGGCAGATAGAGGAGCAACACATGGGTCCAGTTTACACATTTATTATAGAAATCCCCTTCCAGTGTGGGTAGTGTCTTGGGCCCAGATCCATTGGTACAAAAAGAAAAGTTTAACACCAGGTAGAGGGGGTAGTGGGACCCCCAACTCCAGAAAGTCACAGACAGATATAGAAAACACAGCTTGTGTGGATTTGTTTAAAAAGTGGTGGGTGGAAGGAAAGCCAAGGAAGACGTGACGTGGCCCATGGCCAGACGTCACCTGAGGATTTTACTGGCATCTACCAGATACCAGGTTCAACTACCGCAGTATCCCCCGCACACACAACATACCCTATGACTCTACCCTTCCCCCTCCTAAGGGGCCTCCTAATTGGGGATAATCAGGGCAAGGGCTACCACCAAAGGCTGGGCCATCTCACCCTGTGCGGGTAGAGGCAGTGGGCACAGACAGGCAGAGATGGGCTCCTTCCCTGGGTGTGGGAAAATGAACCTAAGCCCCTCAACCCAAACTTCAGTCCTTACAAGTGTAGACAGAGAACCCACCTCCCCAAGAACTGCCCTGGTGGGGGGTGGCAGGGAGTTCTGTTCACACTGGAGTCTCCTGGCTGCCCAGAACAGAGTCCTGAAACAGGGTCCTGAAACCCTATATGGTCCATTTCATGAAAGGGATTCCTGAATGAAACGGGACAGGAATGAACCCAATCAGGACAAGATCACAGTTTCCCTTTTATAAAACGTCTAGTGTTGGGGGAAGACAGTGAACACCTAAATCACAACTGTAAACAGAAATAGAGGAAGGGGCTTAGAGGCCCCATTATATCATCCCCCTCTTTTAAGCTGACTGAGGCCCCCTAGTCCCCAGCACATTGTTAAAGGAGAAGTGGGATGTCAGACGCTCTCCTAGGCCCACAGGGCGTCAGGGGCCTTGGAAGGTCGGCTTGGGACCCAGGAACGACAGCAACCACACCCCAGGGCTCAGTGAGGTCAGCTGTGTGCTCCCCAGGCGGCAGTCATGCCTAGGTCAACAAGGGGCTTATCAGAAGGGGTCAGACCAGTGTTCCCGGGGTCTGGGGGTCAGAACTGGAGGACTGCTCCCCCTCTAACGTCAGGTCACTTAAACGAGTGCTCAGCTCCGGGGGATACAGGAAGTCCGCGTAGTATCTTTAGAAGGGGTAGCAGGAATCCGGAGGATAGGTTGAAGATGGAGAAGAGAGGAAAAGACACGACACAGAGAGAGGAAAAGAGGCTCGTTAAAGAGGTAGAGGCAGACACAGGACAGAGCACCTGAGGGCTCTCAAGCATGGATAACAGAGGAAGAAAAAGGTGGGGGGCACAGGATGCCCCTTCCTCCCAGCACCCTGGTTTTAAGGCTCATTTTCAGCTGACATGCACTGGTTGTTAAACTATCATACAGCTTGATGAAGAACTTCAGTTACCAATACCCAAGATACCCCTCCACCAGGACCCTGTGGACTAACGCAGGTCATGAACTGTACATGAACTAGCTGGGCTAGCACTGCAGCTAGGTTCGTGTGGTCCAAGTTATTAGCTCTCATGACTAGCTGCTCCCTGGCCTGGATACCTTCACCATCTGCCTCAAGAGACCCCTACCCATCAGTAAAAGCACCCCCCATACCTGCCGGAGACAGGGGGCGCTGTGAAACTCCTCGAGTGTGGGAGCGGCACCTGGCTGGGGGTCCCATACAGCGCCTGACCCACCTCATTGCAGCGGGCATGGAGGAAGGGTTGGTGTGGTGGGCCCATGTGAGGAATCACAGGCCGGCGCTGGGGCCCTGCAGCCAGTCCTGAGTTCCGGATGTACCAGTCCCGCAGCCCTTCCAGTGCAAGGTTCTTGTGGCCGCTGCGCTCACCAGCCAGGGGGATACGGGTGGGTGGGGGCATCCACAGCAGAGGGGTTGGATGCCCCTCTGGACCCTCGGAGGCCTCCAGGGGCAGGCCACAGGGCTTGGTGCGAGTGGCACGTGCATGGGGGTCCTTGCTGCGGAGGAGGGGGCTGCTGCCGTCAGCTGTATACACAGGTGGTGAGCCTGGGAGCATGGCGAGGGGCCCATCCCGGCGGGAGAGGGGTCCTGGGACCTCAGCTGCAGGTAGCAGCTCCCCCCAACCTGCTCCGCCACTACCGCGGGGTAGGCCCCGTTCCAGGGAATAGTCCAAGAGGAAGTCCCCACACACAGGTGGATGTCTAGGTGCTCCGCGGGAGGCAGGGGCAGCTGAGCTAGGCCGGGCAGCCCGGGGAGGGTCAGGGGGGCCCACTGTGCGAGAGGAGAAGGCAGGGGCTGTTTGGGGGTGCTCATACAGCACCTCACTGCTCTTGCAGACTGGGGGGCCAGCAGCAGGGGGATGCAGAGGGGCAGGCGGGGACCCAGCTCCCCCATCAGCTGCCCGGTCCACGAGCAGGGCCTCGGAGCTGTTGCTGCGGCGGGTGCGAGCTGCGAAGAGGGAGGCATGGTCGGAGGCAGGGTCTGCCCGGGGGAAGCCCATCTGGGAGTCCTGGCTGCTGGACCACTGGCGAGAATGGAGGCCTTCAGGTCTGGGGGTGCAGATGTGGGGACAACGGGAACGGTGTCAGAAAAAAAATAAGCAGATGGGCTGAGTGCCCTCCCTAGCCCATCTCCTTCTGAGCCTTCATTTCCACATCTCCAAAATGAGCCCAGAATTAAAAACTATGTATATGAAGGTGTCAGGTAGTGAGCATGAAAAGGGCAGCAAAGGTTCTGTCCCAGAGTTGGGGGCAGAAGGGTAGGAAATGTATGGGAGGGCCCTGGGGCTGTTAGCCCTGAGGGAGATGTAAATATGTATAGGGCTGGAGAGGAAATGCTAACTAAAGAGGGGCCTGACAGAGGACTCTTCCTAATACATCTGACCCCTCGTCCCCTGCGAAGACCCCTCTCATAGCTCCCTACTGCCTCCAGGATGAAGTCCTAATCCTTAGGCCTAGAGCTGAAGAGCCTTCCTGAACTCTCTGTCCCACAATGTGTATGAACCACCCAAAACTATCATTCCCAACAGCTACCATTCACAGGCTGTAAGCTCTACAAGGACAGGTTCGTTGTTTATTCAAATGCCTGAGACACACCAGGCACATGTAAAGCCCTGATTTCTGGCAGACAGTAGGTCATAACAATTAACTATAACTGTTATGCTACAGTATCTTTCAAAGGCAGAAATTTTTATGCCCCTTTCACAAATGAGACAAAGTTGAGAAGGGAAATTACTTGTCCAAAATGCACAGAAAAGCCCACACTCAAACTTTACTGCTTCTGCTCCAAATCCCCACTCTCTTCTTCTTTACCAGGACAACTCCTATTCACCTTTCAAAGCCCAGCCTCCCATGTCCCACACCCTTTGATAATGTTCTCCCCAACACCCCCAGTTAAAACTAACTGTTCCTCCTCTAATCCTCAAACCCAGCCTCAGAGTTTCCTTACTTGCAGAGTTGGGGGCCAATGCCCCGGGTGAGGACAGGGGTCGCAGGCACACTTCGCCCCTCAAAACTGGAGGCACTCCTGGGCAGTGAGCGTGTGGGGCTAAACAGAGACAGGCAGATCCAGTTGGGGCCCAGGTTAGAGACTGTACCCACCAGCAGGCCGTCCTGCTAGCCCAAGCTCAGGATCCCATTCCTGACTTACGGGGAAGGGAGGGTAGGGGCTCGTCCTCACCTGGTGGGGCTGGCCACAGAGTTCCGCCTGCTCTTCAAATCCCCATAAAGATCTGATGGGGGTGGTTTCCATGGGGCTCGTCGCTCAGGGCTGCCTCCAGATACCACCCGTAGCTGGTCCCAGGCCTTGGGTGGTGAGGGGCGCTCAGCCAGAGGGAAGCAGCCACGGGGCTCTTCTGAGTAGAAGGGAGATGTCGGGGAGAAGTCAGTGAGAGGGGGCCCAGAGGAAGCAAGATAGGTTGGAGGCAAAGCAAAGGGTAGGGGCTAGGGAAGTAGGGAAGGAGCAAAGATCTGGGGCAGGGTTAAACCAGCTGAGGAGGAGCTAAAGGACGAGGCAGGGCAACAAGGGTTGGGCAACGCTGGGTAGGGACTGGAGCTAAGGGAGCAGGGGTGGGATGAAGCTAAGAAGATGGGGGGGCAGAGGAAAATGGGGCACGGCTAAGGAGGAGTAAGCAGGTGGAGCTGAAGAGGTGAGGAAGGGCTGAGCATCAAAGGATGGGCCATGGGACATAGGAAGGGGTTGGGGCGTGCCTGGGGGATAGGAGTCCTCACCATTATCATGGCTGGCCCCAGACTCTGAGAGGGAGCTGCTCTCTGAGTGCAGAACTACGTCCTCTACAGGTGAGAAGGGGGAGAACCGGGCCTAACAATCCAAGGCCTGGGTACCATCCCCTTACATCACTGGATGGGCTCTGCTTAGCACCGCCTTCTGGACGTGTCTCCTCCTCAGCCTGTTCCCTTCCCAAGAATTCACCTTTACCTCAATCCAAAACCACCATATGCTTGGTTCCTCACTTTCCTTGTGCCTACTGGCCAGTTCCCAATGGCCCCCCTCCTCCCATGTGCCAACTTATCTGAACTGTTCTTACTGGCTGGGCTCCTTAAGTTCTGCCTACCTCCCTGTCTTCACTGACTGTTCACCCATCCCACCCCTACAAGTCCATTAGCCAGTGTCCATTCACTGAGCCCACTCTCCCACTTTCACTGGTGGGATGATGGGACCTGGCTCACCTTGGCTGAGCTGAGCAAGGCGTGTGCCCAGGCAGACTCCCTGGGTGGTGATAACTGCCCCCGTGGACAGCGGCAGTGGCTGGGGTGGTGGGAGCACTGGGAGGCCAAGGCGGGCCCGGACATCCCTGAGCTGCTCCTCTAGCTCATGCAGCCTCCGCAGTGCATCTGCCTGGACCTGGCGCCGGCGCCGGCGCTGCTCGGCACTCAGCTCAGGGACCAGGGCCAGGCGGCGGGCAGCTGCTGCAATCTGCTGCTGCACTGACACCTCGCGCTCCAGGGCCTCGAGAGCCAGCTCCTGTGGGGCCCATCCGAAAGGGGTGGGACAGGACCAAATGTTGGAAATAGCCAAGCACCAGGACAATCAGTGGCAGAGCCCATCTGGACTAGAGGTGGGGCTTGCTCTTCCTCGGGGTGGACCTATTCTCTGAGGGATGGAGCTTATTCATCCTCTGGGGGCAGGGCCCATCTTGATTAGGGGCTAGGCCTGTTCATCTTCCCAGGGGTGGGAGGCCTATCCTTACTGAGTTAGGGACCAGCATCATCCTGGGGGTGGGGTTTATCATGCTGAGAGGCAGGGCGTATCTTGGGACCTGTTCCTCTACCTTCGCCTGGGGACCACTGCCTCCCTTATATCTAGAATCCACCTCCCTCAAACCCTTTTCCTTCTTACCTTAGCTTCTCCCTGCCCTAGACTCAACCCCCACTCTGCCTTTGTTTTCCTCCAGGCTCCTCCTCCTCTGTACCTATTCCCTCCCCCCATACCATCTTGCTCTCCAAGTCTGCTCACCTCAGCAGGGCACAAGGAGTGGTGTGCTGGGTTGGGATGTGATGGAGGATAGGTACGGGCTGCCGGGGGCCGCCGTCGGACCAACTGGGGCCGTTCACCAGGCTCCAGGGGGCACTCAGGGGGGAGTTGGCCAGTTAGCTCCTGGGTAGGGGGGCAGGCGTCAGAAACTGCCAAGGGTTAGTTGAGGGGAGGGGATGGGGCAAAGCAGTAATGACCCAAAAAGCTACAGAGGTCCTACTAGGAGTCTGGCCCTGTTCAGCACCCCACACATTTCTCTTCCTCCTCCCAGTATCTCCACCAGGCAGGCAGGTATACAGTGTAGACTCAGCCCCTCAATGGCCCAAATCCCTGGGGCAGTGGGGATAGGAAGGATGGGGGAGATCTGCTTTGGAACCCAAAAATTTTTATAAAGGCAACACAGTCTATATATATTGCATATTATATAACACCGCTATTAGGGTCTGGGGCTGCATGCTCTGAACATTATTATTTCTGGCACACTGTGTGGATAGTCACACTAAGCCCGTTGCTGTTGAGTTGATTTCGACTCCTAGTGACCCCACAGGACAGAGTAGAACTGCCCATAGGGTTTCCAAGGCTATAAATCTTTACAGAAGCAGATTGCCACATCTTTCTCCTGCAGAGTGGCTGGTAGGTTTGAACTGCCAACCTTTCCTTTACCACTGCACCACCAGGGCTTCTTCATTAAAAATATACACATTATTATTTCTGGTAAACAGTAGATATTCACACTAAGAGGAGTAAATAGAAATTACAAATCACTCCATGTCAGTTCAGGTCAGGTTTTGCTGCCAAATTTTGGAAATAATTTTTTGTTTTTTGAGGATTTTGATTTCAGAACTGTAGATAAGGGATTGTGGGCCTGGTATTACCAATTTCATTGACTGTAAGATCTCTAAACTGAACTTTGATAAGACAGAGGGTGACACGGAATCTGCAATTGCCACCCTAAGTCTGCCTACCTAGGGCTCCCCCACCCCTTACACCCCTCGGGCCAAGCCCTCACCGCCTCCTGGAGACACACTTTTCGTAGCTCCTGGAGTTTCAGGCTCAGGGCCTCCTGAAGGGCCCGCTGCCGGTCAAGCAGCCCCCGCAGACGCTCTGATCTCACCTGGGGGGCAGCCTCTCCAAACAGGGCAGCTGGACACAGAGGGAGCAAAGATCAGTGGGACAGCCAGGGCATCCTGGAGCAGATGTGGGCCCAGGGACCCCACTTCCCAAGTGAGCAGGCAGTGACTCAGAGCAAGGGAGGAGGCAGAAGGGCGAACCAGCCACCGACCTGGGGCATTGAAGGTGGGAGAGCTGATCAGCTGACCTTTGACTTCCATCCTGGTGCTGTCGAGAGTCTGTGGCTGACGGCTGAACAAGGCCTGGCAATGATGCACAGGAGGCATTAAGGAAGTACATCCCATGATACCCAACCCCTGCCCCTGCCCAGCTTCCCACATCCCAGCTGGGAGTAAGGGGTGCCCTGGACCCCACCCGCCTGCTTGACTTGCCCTCTCAGAATCTGTATCGATGTCTGGACCCAGGGGGTCACCCAGAATGGTGTTGGCCCGGGTACCTTGATTCCCTTCCCATTGAGTGGGAGCACAGCAAGTGGGGAGCTGGGCAGACTTACAACGCCTCCTCAGAGGCCCATGGGCCACAGCCAAGAGTCTTGCCTAGGGAAGGAGAAATAATGGTACAGATTCAACCAACTATAACAACAGTGCACTTACTAAGCACCTGGGTACCTGGCACAGTTCCATACTAGGCCACATTTAATCTTCACAGCCACCCTGTGATGGTAGTTTTGTGATTACGAATACCACCATTGGTAAAGATGAGAGTAAGGCACAGGGTGGTGAAATAACTTGCCTGAGGCCACAAACACAACCAGGCCCACCCCTCCAGTCCAACACTCTCCCTCACTAGAGCTGCTCTGTCCCTACCAACTTCCTTATCATTCCCAAGTCTATCAGGCCTCAGGGCCTTGGCCTAGGCTGTGGCTACTGTCTGGAGTGCTCTTTCAACCTCTTAACACATCAACCCCTGGTTCTCACTTGTCATTCTTGGGTTTAAATACCACCCACTTCCAGAGGTGAGCCTCTGCATTATGTCCTCTCACTGTCCTACACAAGAGACTGTGCTTTCCCCATACACCCCTGAGGACAGGAAACACATCTGTCCTGTTTTCTTCAGCATCTCCAACACTGTACTCACAGCAAGCACTCAAGGAATGTTGCCAGCTGAATGAATAAATGACTGAATAAACGAATGAAGAGGTGGCAGAGCCAGGGCTCAAGCCCATCTGTGTGGGACTACACCTGTCTCAACTCTATCTTGTGGCCCTGGTGCAGCAGGAAGAGCATTTTCATTGACCGCAGGGCCCCTCCAGCCCCAGCTTAGGGAACGGACCCTACTGAGATTTGTGAGAAACAAAGTCCACAGCTGCAGATAACAAACCAGCTGCCTCCTGCCTCCTTCTCTGCCCCAGATGCCTTGGCTGGCTGCCAGCCCTGCCCTTGTCTCCTGCTCTGGAGTTTGCTCCCTCCCTCCCACATCCCACACAGTCTCCAGCTGGGCAGCCAGGTTACATCACCTCCCACCAAGTGGCCTGACCTCTGTGGTAGGCAACTGGGATGGCCTCATGGGGTCAGAGGTCCATCCCCACCCACTCAAAATCCAGTTTGTCATGACATGGTAACCTGGTGTGGAGAAGAGCCAGGCAACCAAGGAGGCGAGGGTTCAAGCTCCTTCCCCATCTATACATTGTAGGGTGTGGCCAAGCTGCCTATAAGGTCCCAATAGTTTCTCTGCAGTCCCCTGCCCCTCCACAGGGTCTGTACCCCTCCCTAGAAGCAGCGATTCTTTGTCCTCAACATTAGGGGTGGGGGTTAGTCTCCAAAGCCTTTTTGTAAATTCAGGTACCAGTGTGTGCTTTGCAGAGGCACTCACATGCACACTCATCTAAGGTCTGGCAAGGGGTACTGACTGACTCAGAAAACACGCATTTCCCAGCACGGCTGGGTTTCCTTGAGGTCCCAGCTCAGCCCTCTCCATCCCTAAGCTCCTGGGGCTCCCACTTCCCCAGCCTCACTTAGGTTTGGGGAACTCTCACAGGGCTCCCCTGAACCTTCCTCCTTTCCAACAGGGCTCTCAACTCCTACTCCATGGGCCTGTTTCCCAGGACTGGTCCCACATCCCACACTGGCTGCCATAAGCCTTTCTCTCCTGGGAGCTCAGGACATCCTGGAAGTCAACACAAGGTTCAGACAGGAACCCCAACTCCACCCTGTCAACCTGACCTCAGGGACATAGCTAAGAGCTGAGTCACACGGTCACTGGGCAGGCTAGACATAAGGTCAACATCCCACACCTCCACATACAGCGTCTAAACCTTTGCGTCCTCTCACCTGCCCTCTGCCTAGCTGCCTTGGGACCTGGGCCTGCTCCATTCCCACCCAGAGATGGTGAGGAGGAGGATCCCGGCAACTCCCTCCCCAACACACATCCACACCAGCCCTTGGGTCTTCCCACTGATGGCCCTGTTCTGTCCCAGGGATGGGCTACAGCAAGAGAGCTGCAGAGGGCATCCACACACACACCCAGAGGCAGGCCTAGCAGGTTTTTCAGGTCTGCCCTTCTGACACCACAGCCAAGAAAGAAATTCCTGGCTGTAATGACTGTTTACAACCAAGACACCTCACCTGGGTAGCACCCAACACCCTCAGTGGGACCCCCTTTGCACATCTGGCCACCACTGGAGCAAATACAAACTCCCAGTGTCAGGGACTATTCCTCACTCTCATCTAGTGCCCCCCTTGCTTCACTCTGCATGAACAAGTGTGGGACAGGCACCTGGGAAATGGTTTTCCAACAGCCCAGTCTGGGCTTTACTGGGGGTCTGGGCCCTGGGTTGGGGAAAGGGGAGAGGAAGTGGAGGAGGTGGGAGTGGAGTGGGGGGCTCATGCTTCTTGTTCTGGCTAGGTCTTCCCTCATCCCTCCTCCTCGTCCATTTCTGGCCAGGAAGTGGTTTCATGACAGGAAAGGAAGTCAGACATTTTTGGCTTCATGACCACTACCTGCTCCCCACTCCCATCCTACAGTGTTGACTTGGCTCTCTCCTCCTGGGGAACTTCAGCTTACTCCACCCAGTTCCCTGATGCCCTTCTCCTCCTCTTCCCCCACCACTTCTCACTGTGCCCAGGTGCTCACCAATGCCAGGGAGGTGCTGTGGGAGGTCTCAGGTACCTCAAATAGTTTCCTCGACCAGGTCCTGGTTCCGGCTGGTGGTGGCTGTGAGCAGCAGTGGCTGCTGATGCCTCAGCTGCCTCCCCCTAGGGAATGGCCCAGCCTACCTGGCCTGGGACTGGGCCAACCCACACCTTTTAACCCTTCCCTGCCTGCCACCAAGGCTAAGGCCACCTCTGGGGGTAGTCTTGGGGCCAGGTCCTCTCAGGGTGCCCAGCATGGCCAAGAAAGGAGCCTGGCACTCCCTCTGTACACCGATACATCTAGCTGGGACATAAAAAATCCATTGCCATCAAGTCAATTCTCATAGCAACCCTACAGGACAGAGCAGAACTGCCCCATAGGGTTTGCAAGGCTGTAATCTTTACGGAAACAGACTGCCACCTCTTTTTCCCGAGGAGTGGCTGGTGCATTCAAACCACCGACCTTTTGGTTAGCAGCCAAGCACTTAACCATTGCGCCACCAGGACTCCAGCTGGGAGACGAAAACTAGGAAAGACAGGCTAAGGGTCGTGGGAATGGCAGCTGCCTCTCCTACTGTCCAAATTCCCTGAGAATCAGACCCTGCCCACCCAAGAGTATTAACTTGGAGGTGGGGGGATGGAGGGCTGGGGAGTTGTTAAGCACATGGGTGACCTCAAGTATGAATCAGGTTTGTGGTTCTTGGCAGTGTGCATCACATTCCTGAGACTCCTACCCTTTCCTCCAGGGCAAGGCAGGGGTGGTGGAAGGTAGTGGGGCAATTCCCACCCTCATCAGGATAATAGTTTCCCAAGCTGGGGACAGAGGAAGTCAATCTTTCTAAGGAGAAACCAGGTCTTAAGACCCTACCACCTTCTGCAGCTCCAGAAGAAATAATCCCAGTAAACCAACCACAAATTTACACTCTACAGAAACCCTCTGATGCATTTAACCCCTCTTGGTCCCTACAAACCTGGATGACACAGACCCAAGCTCCTTATGGCCATTTTATAGATGTGGAAACTGAGGCTCAGAAAGGCGAAGAGATCTGATTCAGATGACAGTGGCATAAGAACAGGTAGCATCAAAACTCAGGGGGCAGGGGGCTGGGTCCTGGGTTGGAGGTGGATAAAGGCCACTCCTGCAAGGGAGGGGGAGTGAGAAAGGGGGCTCATGCTTCTTCACATGCACTGAGTCTCCCCATTCTCCCCCTCATGCATTTCTGGCCAGGAGTCAGCTTCATGCCAGATAAGAAAATTGGCTCTGAGTCCCTATGATGTACTGTCTCCCACCACAGCACTACCTGGGCTCCAGGCCTGCTGCAGCATACACCATACATCCTGCGCTAGATCTGGGACCATCTGCTCTATGACCTCAGGGGCCAAGCCCAACCCAGGCCCCTGCAGCAGCCCACACCATGATGTGAAAGAGTAGAGTAAGGCCAACTCCCTCCTCACTTGGAGGGAGGGCCAGGCCTAGGCAGGAGCTCTCTCCGTACGTGCTTTAATGGAGGCTCCTGCCATCTTGTCCACCTTTCTTCTTGGGTGTGAGATTTCCAGCATGGGACACGAAGGCCCCTTTCATCCACCTCCTTTCTTTTCCCTTTCTTCACTGCCTGGGGCTGGTGGAGGATGACAGCCACGGGTGGGCAACTAGGTGTTAGTGGGAAGTGTCCTCTCAGCCATGGCCTCTCATGCCTCTTGTGGGCCACCAAAGATGTTGAGAAGAAAGATGTTTATAAAATCAGAGCCAAGAGGGACAAGAGAACTGTCTGGCAATGCAGATTAAGTTTCAAGGCTTAGGTTTCCTTGCCTGTAAAACGAGTAAAAGGTGGTTACAGAGATAACAAAAGCCAAAGTAACTTTGGAAAGCATTTTAAAGTATAACGAAACTCACACTATGTCATTAATGACTGTTAACAGTAACAAATAAACTCACACAGAGATGAGCAGGAGCTGGGGTGGGGGAGAGCAGGTAACTGGACCTCTTAGGCCAGGCACACAGGTGGGGCAGGGTCACTCACCCACATCATTGCCCTGTTCCCCGACTTTTAACAGCCTGGAAGACGGTGCAACCTCCAGGCCCCACCCTAGCCAGGTCCTGAGCCTCTGGTGGCCCTACATGGCTAGTAAGTGGTGGGATTCAACCCAGCTCTTTCTACTTAACTGGCTGTGTGACTGCTCAAACAAGTCACGTAAGCTCTCTCTGTCTCAATGTCCTCGTCTATAAAATGGAGATGATGATAATAGTATGAACTACACAGGGTTGTTGTGAGCATTAAATGTGTTAATATATTTAAAGCTTGCTTAGGACAGCGCCTGGCACACAGTAAGCATTCAATATATGTTGGCTGTCATAATTACAAGTATTCCTCCTTATCCAAACTCAGGAATCAAATAGATACATTCAGACATTTTTTTGAGACAGAACTGGTATCCCTCAGCCTCACCAGATAAATCTGAAACAGAGCTGTTTTCCCTCAGATAACTTGTGCAAAGTCTCATGATCCAAAATCAGGAACCAAATAGATTCAGATACATTTTTGAGACAGAGCTGGTATCCTTCAGCCTCTGAACCCTCCCCACTTGTTACCCAGACACGAAAACCTTCCTACTTTCAAACCAGATAAGTTTGAAACAAAGCTATTTTCCCCTCATTATTCAACCTCTCCCTACTTAATATAAAAAAATGCTGGAACCATCCCAATATTACCGGCACTAACCAAAAAAATAAAAAATAGTAAATGTTGGAGAGGGTGTGGGGAGACTGCAACAGTTAAGCACTGCTGGTGGGAATATAAAATGGTACAACCACTATGGAAAACGATATAACCAAAAGCCAAATCAAACCCGTTGCCATCGAGTCGATTTCAACTCATGGTGGCTCTACAGGACAGAGTAGAACTGCCCCATAGGGTTATGGAAAACAATATAGCACCTCCTTAAAAAGCTAGAAAAAGAAATACCATACTATCCAGCAATCCCACTAATAGGAATATATCCTAGAGAAATAAGAGCCATCACACAAATAGACGTATACACACTTGTCATGGTTTGAATTATGTCCCCCAAAAAATGTGTGTATCAATTTGGCTAGGCCATGATTCCCAGAACTGTGTGGTTGGCCTCCATTCTGTGATTGTAATTTTATGTTAAAGAGGATTAGGGTGGGATTGTAACACCACCCTTACCCAGGTCACATCCCTGATCCAATGTAAAAGGAGTTTCCCTAGGGTGTGGCCTGCACCACCTTTTACCTTACAAGAGATAAAAGGAAAGGGAAGCAAGCAGAGAATTGGGGACCTCATACCACCAAGAAAGCAGTTCTGAGAGCATGGCGCATCCTTTGGACCTGAGATTCCTGCGCTGAGATGCTCTCAGACCAAGGGAAGACTGATGCATCACAAGGACCTTCCTCCAGAACTGAAAGAGAGAGAAAGCCTTCTCCTGGAGCCAATGCCCTAAATTTGGACTTGTAGCCTACTGAGCTGTGAGAGAATAAATGTCCCATTGTTAAAGCCATCCACTCGTGGTATTTCTGTTAGAGCAGCACTAGGTGACTAAGACAGAATTTGGTACCAGGAGTGGGGTGCTGCTCTAACAGATACCTAAAATGTGGAAGCCGTTTTGAAACTGTGACTCGATAGAGGAGCAACAGTGGCAGAGGACCAGCAACAGCAGAGAACCTGCAGCAGCAGAGAAGCGGCAGCTAAGCGGCAGTGGCAGAGAACCAACAGCAGCAGAATCAGGACACCAGCATGAGATGGTGCTGGAGCCAACCACAGAGCGAGAGAACTGAGTGCCTGTGCGCAGGAGGCTTCCTGGCGGAGTGGGGTGCCTCCGGGCACTTAGCAGTGGAGCTACAGAGCTTTGGAACACTTGCCCCAGCAGGGCAGATGTGAGCATTGAGGCCTGAGGGCTGAGAGGCCATAGGAAACAGAAGCAGAAGCTGAAGAGACAAGGAACACAAGAAGTCAAGCTGCCTCAGTCTCAAAAGGTATGGCCATGACCTCTGGGGTTTCAAAGAGTGGAGCCATGGCCTCTGGTGCTTCTAAGGGTGGAGTCGCCACTCACATGAACTGGGAGAATGGTGCACCTAAAGCCAAGGGAGCAGAGTTGCTGTTCCAGTGGGACTAGAAGGCAGAGCTAAAGCCCAGGGCCAGGCGGTCTCCACTCAGAATCCGGAGACTGTGGCCAATACCTAGAGTCTGGAGGGCAGGGCTATTGTGTAAATTGTCTCAGAGAACAGAATATTATTTTCAAAGCCTTGAGGGCTAATGTGATGTGTTCTGCTGACTTGCTTGGTACCTGTTATCCCTTCTTTTCCTCTAGTTTCTCCCATTTGTAATAGAAATGTCTAGGTTGTGCCTGTTCTGCCACTGTACCTCTGGAAGCAAATAACTTGTATTCTAGATTTCACAGATGAAGAGGAATTCTTGGATTTTGGACTTGGAGTTAAGACTTTTGCTATGATATGATGGGATGAATATGTTTTACATGTTGCAAGGATGTGATTTGGGGGGGGCCAAAGGGTGGAATGTCGTGGTTTGAATTATGTCTCCCAAAAATGTGTGTATCAATTTGGCTGGGCCATGATTCCCAGAACTGTGTGGTTGGCCCACATTTTGTGATTGTAATTTTATGTTAAAGAGGATTAGGGTGGGATTGTAACACCACCCTTACCCAGGTCACATCCCTGATCCAACGTAAAGGGAGTTTCCCTAGGGTGTGGCCTGCACCATCTTTTACCTTACAAAAGATAAAAGGAAAGGGAAGCAAGCAGAGAATTGGGGACCTCATACCACCAAGAAAGCAGCTCTGGGAGCAGAGCACGTCCTTTGGACCTGAGGTTCCTGTGCTGAGATGCTCTCAGACCAAGGGAAGACTGATGCATCACAAGGACCTTCCTCCAGAGCCGGAAGAGAGAGAAAGCCTTCCCTGGAGCTGATGCCCTGAATTTGGACTTGTAGGCTACTGAACTGTGAGGGAATAAATTTCTCTTTGTTAAAGCCATCCACTCGTGGTATTTCTGTGAGAGCAGCACTAGCTGACTAAGACAACACCCATGTTCCCTGCAGCTTTATTCACAATAGCAAAAA